CACATAAATCGATTGTTAAAAGATATCATACGTACGTAATATATTTATACTGGAATACAGAATGCTATGTGTGGCGCTATTGTTGATATAAAGAGTCCTGTTATTTGATTTCTTATCAAAGATCTGATGATGGATGATATCATCCATATTTTCGTGAATGAAATCCGTTCTTGTGAAAGTAGCAGAGTATGAGAGGCATATTTGTGGTGATAGGATATATGATAATGAAGATGTGATGGCTACCGAACATATCGATTTAGCATGAAGGGATATATATAATGTAACATGTATAAACAAATACGTTATCTTTTATTGTTTATATTCTATTTAGGACATTTTTCAACCTATAACACTATTTTAATGTGAAAACTAATACTCTTTTAATGTAATTTCAATACTAAATTTTTTTTCTTTTCCAACCACAATACTAAACTTCACACCAAAACTATATTTTTATTCTTATTTTATTAAGTTTCAAATTTTGTTGTTATTTAATATATAAAAAGAAATTTATTATATAATTATATTATTATTAGAGTACTTTATTTTTATAAAATAAATACTTACTATTTTAGATACAATAATGGAATAATAAATTACAACAAACTATTTCAAAATATGTAATATATTGATTTTTTATATTTATTTTAATGTATTTATTTTATCCATGGTATTTATTTAAATAAATATTTTTAATATATAAAAATAAGTAAATAGTGTTTAACGTTGTGAATAATAGAACACCAAATTTGGTGTGGTATTTTAGGGTTACAGTAATTTTTCGAATCCGATTGGAAAAGTTTATTGTGAAAACTAAACTAAAATAGCATTTTATCGTTGGATTGCAGAAGGCCTTATAACATTAAGGTTTTATCATTAAAATAAAATATTACATAGAAAATATATTTTCATAACAATGTAGCTTTTATCACTTGTATTTTTAAGTTTAATCTCATCTGACCGATATTAGGCATATGTGAACGTGATATATAAATCGACCGAAGACTTATAAAACCAAAAGCATATATGTATATTGTTCTCTATCCAAAGTCTGATGCTAGAAATTTGGTGCTATCCTAATAAACCACCTTGTACCGTCAACAAAAATTATGATAATATATCATTTATATAGTTCAGTTGGACTAAGATTTTGAATACGGCACATTTTCAGATACCATACTAACCTTAACCAACGTACGTATTGTCATTAAATACAAAAATAATCAAGAAAACAAAAAAGCTTATCCATCTTAAAAGTTCTGAACCGAAAGTTAACCCTAAGGGAATTGAGAGGGTACATGAGTGGCATCAAAATCCAAAAGAGGAGACAGTACAATAACATCTCCATAAATTCCAAGACCAACATTTAAATTAGTGAGAAGAAGAAAAATATGGAGATGATGAAGGCAAGGGACAAGTTACATCCAATTAAAATTTAGAGGCAAAAACATCTTAAACCCTACTTTTGTTCCTTGATTTGTCTACATCCCTCTCTTTTACCCCTTTCTCTCCTTTTGTTTCTATTCCAAGAGTTTTCAAATCAACAAAACACCAATGTTTTGTTTATTTTCTGGGTCACGTTGTCTAATATATCACATCAATTTTGTCGTATAAATAATGTTTATCTACTATATATGATCAATATATATACGAGTCAATATGGATTTCACCTGATAACTGTAAAACCAGTGAATAATATCAATCCTCGACTGAACGTACAGATGACTTGACTAAAGAATCGCCCGCACACATAAATGGACTGTATACTGAACTTTTATAAGATTGAACCAGTGCATGCAACCAAATCTGTATATCAATAACCACAAGAATATATAAATATATGGAGACCACCATTTTTGTTCAAGCTGGTGACCGCCTTTGATGTGTAGTCTTAGCTAGATTAAAGTTTGTCATAAGGCCATGTTACAAAAAAACTTTGTTTTCATTTAATTTTTATATATATTTTGTATTAATATGTATACACATATACTATATGTATATGTTATATGCATCATGTTTATCAAAGGTATATATGTGCTGCATATTAACTTGGCCTGTGTGAGGACCAGGTGTACTTTCATATGAATATAACAAGGCCACAACTCTCACTATTCTACCACAAAAATCATTTTGATCTATTGGTTTCGTTTCCCTTTTTTTTTTTGAACAACTGTTTCCTTTCCCTTTACTATTCTTTTTTTTCTTAAGTTTTCTAATTTAAATTAGTTGTTGGAATATGCTTCTCACATTTAAAGAGTGCAGCCATATGACATGCATGCATGCAATTAAACGACAAATCCAAATAAGAAGTTTACATTGACTAAACTGTATATTGTGATTTCGTGTGAAAACCACAAACACCTGTGAGACTCAAACAACTTACTTTACGTCAATACTTTATCAACAGTCAACACGCAAATATCATGAGATAATAAACCATAAGTATATTAAAAGTTATAGGGAATTGTAAATTTCAAAGTGTTTACTAAAATTCTATTGGTTAAAAATTATAGGAAATATTTAGTTACAAAAAATAATGTATTGGTAATAAAAATTTCATAAATTTTCTTAATATGTGTATAAATTGTAAAACATTGAACATTTTGAATCAGAGGGAGTATAATATAGTGGTTTGCATTAATGTTGTTATTTTGTTATAATATATATGATGTAGTATAATATAGTTTTACACATAATACATGTTATCTTGTGATAATACACAAAATATTATATACGCATGATCATGTATATGTAACTGAATATTATTTAATTTTCATAGAGATTAATTAAGTTGTTCTTATTAAAGTACTCCTTTATATTCATCGTTAAATGCATGGTAGCCAAATGTATTGGGATCTAAAAACATCTGATATATTGGGTGATCCCGAAAACTTACGGTGGGATCAACGACGATTTGCAGAATCCATAGGTTGGTAAATAGTGGGATGAGATTAGCATATAGGAGATTTGGAGATCGCTTTATTGATCACATTTGACCGAAAGATATTCTATTTGTGCAGATAATTCCAAAGATAGTTGGAAAATATGCTAACAATTTTCATGAAATATTCTTCTAATCATAAACATCTTTGAAAATATATATTATTCTGGTATCTTGGCAATAAGAGTGTCCATTGCTGAGTTTTAAGTGGGATTTTCGGATACTATTGAGCTAAAATTTTCAAGTTTGAGATATCCACTTAGTTTTTAATCTTTTTTGGTATTGGGTTTTGAGAACCTCAGTTATAACCTTCCACGTCTCGTCTAAGCTTCAAGTATTTGCCAACATTATGAATTTGTTGAAATCTGAGACGAACTTGTGCAGAATTAAATACTATTTTTTTTCATTTTCGTTTATCATGAAATTTCCTTTCGATGACTTTTTACGAAAATGATTATAAAGAGTATACCATTATAGATTCACATATATAAAAGGTGTCCTATTAGTCTAATAGTTGAGATTGAAATCGACTAATACCTGAAATTTTCCTTGTGCAACTTAAAAGAAGGTTACATATCCCTAAAAACCGGTCGTAACAAAAATTAAATATAAGAAAAGAAAGTTTAACAGATCCCTGAAATCAGTGAGGAATCTAAGATTGGTTTCGAGCTCAGTTTGAGTAAAATCAAATATTATTTGCGGATACAATATTATAAAGTTTGCTATATGATTAAGAAAATAGAAAAGGTTGTTAAATAAAGTATAATGAGAACTTAAGTGGTCCAGAACGCCGTGAAAGTAAAAAGATCCAGTTCTCTGCGGCCCAGCCCATTTAATTACTCCTGAAATATTATCCAATTAAAGCAGAAAGAAATTCAACAAGTGGCTGAAAACCTCAAAGGCGGGGCATCACCGATGATTATGGGCCCCTTGTACGATTCGTTACGCGTGGACGGTGGAGATGATGGTTGACGATATTACCTGTTATGTAGGACAAGCAAATACTTTAGTGACAGTTGTCTTGATTATCTTTTTTATTGAAAAAGAAGTTGTCTTGATTATCATGTCGGCAAATACAATTAAGAACGTATTATCATTATTTAGACTTTGTTTAGCTAATGGGTGTATAAAGATCATAACTAAATTAGGCTTTGAAGCTATTCTTTTTGTTAAATGTGTACTATATATACTTCATTAAATGTGATTTGTTTGCCGACAAAAAGAGGAACATATTCCTATAAAAAATCTCCTTTTTTTTTTTTGAGAAAGGGCTTCCTATAAAAAAGAATCTCTAAGTCTTTATTTTTATCATGTTTAAAACCCATAAACTCTCCATTTTATAAATTAAAAAATTTTATACAGATTAATAAAAAAGAATTGAAATGTATTTATATTTTATTAATTATACATATTTAACCAATAATATTTTTGATAAATAAAACTATCTGAAAAGTAATGCATTTTATAAATAATATTAAGATCAAAGTAAGTTTAAATTACATTAAAATCTAATATAATATTTTTAATAAAATATATGTCAAAATGACATTTTTTTGTGAAATAGAGTAAGTAGCACATAACTACATATTTTGATGCAACAGAATATAAAGTTTAACAATTGTTCATAAGACCGGTTAGGACCAAAACCATGCATACAACCATGCAAGACCTCGGTTACGAGAAATCAACAAATCACATATTAGACCCGATCCACTTTGATTAAGACGTAACATCTTAGATAAGAGCTCTTATACAGCCAATGACACGCTGTAACATGAACAAAGACACATAGAATCTGCTCAAGATTTCACAGGTTCCAAACAAAAACTATAAAGACCACATTATGATGTTACTGACAATTAACTAAGCCATTAACTAAGCCTCCAGCTAGTAGGCCAAAAGGAAGATGCCTTGTCTTGATTGTTTTAGATTCAGATATACGTGTGGTTGCGTCAAGTCATGATCGTTATAGACAGACAAAAGCTGTGGGCTTTAACAAAACCCAGTAAAAAGACAAAAGAGTGAACTTGTCTCTGCTCTAGCTTTTCATGGGCCCAAGTAGTATTTGCCTAACTCTGAGGGTTTGAGTTTCCAAGAAGGTTATCACTTTTGATCTAAAAAGTCTCAATGAAACAAACACATCAAATCTAAACTACCCACAAGGCCACAACTATAATCAGAACTGAAGTATAGAAGATGAGCATATCTGATCAAACTTTTGGCTCTGAGAGATAGATGGAGAGAGGTGACGAATATATCAATAATGGCAGACCACATGAGGTGGAGATCCAAAGATTTGATCTGGAGCGTCAATCATACACATGTCCCCAGGTAGATGGGACACACTTTTGCCTCAAAGTTGCTGTTACTGCTACCGACAAGCTTTGCTGTTTTTTTCCTTTGTCCTTCTCAAAAACAGTTCCCTCTAACAATATATATAGCTTTATATTCCCTTTTAACATCTTTATAACACTCAGCTGCCACCAAGCCTCATCTTCATCTTTACCATCAACTTCTCTATATCTCTCTGTCCTCTCACTACGTGAAACAACCAAAAGCTTTAACTTAGAAGAGGGTTTTAGTTAAAGAAAAGATTACTGAGAAAATGGATGAGTTTGTTAACCTAAAGGCAACGGAGCTGAGGCTAGGATTACCAGGAACAGACAATGTGTGTGAACAAAGAGAAAGAGCTTCTTGCAATACTAATATCAATAAGAGAGCATTAGAAGCTGATGCTGAGAATGAGTCTGAGTCGTCAAGGATGAAAACAGAAACATCCCAGCCTAGAAAGTAAGTTTAAACACACAAGAATTCTCTGAATCTGATTGGATATTAATCATATTTTTGGTTAATTAACAGTGTTTTTCCTTTTGCAGGGCTCAGATTGTAGGATGGCCACCAGTTAGATCTTACAGGAAGAACATCATTCAGACAAAGAAGAACGAATCTGAACGTGAGAGTCAAGGAATCTATGTGAAAGTAAGTATGGATGGTGCACCATACTTGAGGAAAATTGATTTGAGTTGTTGCAAAGGATACTCAGACTTGGTCAAAGCTTTAGAGACCATGTTCAAGATCTCCGTGGGAGAGTATTCTGAGAGAGATGGATATAAAGGGTCAGAGTTTGTGCCTACTTATGAAGACAAAGATGGTGACTGGATGCTCATTGGAGATGTTCCATGGGAGTAAGTCTTCTTTATATATCTATCAAAAAAAGAACTTCACAAAACCAAAAAAAAATTAAGTGTTCTTATGGTTTCTTTTTGTTTCTTGTTGCAGGATGTTTGTATGCAGTTGCAAGAGATTAAGGATCATGAAAGGTTCAGAAGCCAAGGGTTTAGGCTCTGTTGTATGAGACAAAACTTGAGGAAACCTAAGAGAGGCACAAGAACCTACAGAGAACAGAGTTTCTCTGCATGTGCTCAGGTTGTCAGGGTTATGGGTGAGAGATATGTTCATCAGATGGTATTTAAGTCATAGCCAATTTTTTTTACCTCAACGGTAAATTTCAAATGTAGATAAATGGTCTTCAGCATATGGAAACTGAAACCTAACTACTTTTTGTTACAGATACAAAGGCAAAAGGTTGTCCTTGGTCTGTGGTTATGTACTACATTTTTAAAAGGTTGTTATGAGATTGAATACTTCATCTAATGTTTGTAACATGGTTTGTGTTGTCATTGATCAAAAATATTTTTTCAAGCAATTCCAATTTTCTGTTTTGATTCTCAAGATCTGATAAAAGATATAAGATGAAGCAATGGTGTCTACAAATAAAATGATATACTGAGAGTTACAAAAAGAAACAAAAAAAGTTACATGAAATAATTATACCAGCTCTAGTTCTGTGATTCCCATAAGCTTTGGCCATGAATCTAATCCCATAACCTAATGAATGGTTAACTTAAAAAGACTAAGACTAGTCTTAAATCATCTCTCTTTCATTTAAAGCTTAAAGCTTCACAGGCTTGAGCTTTGAAAAGAGGTGGAAGTACCTGTAGGAGACTCCATCGTGCAGCAGTGAAACACATCGATAAGAAATCTCATTGTGTCCAAGTCAGATTCGGTTAGATCATACTCTTCACTCAGTTTATTGGCTGTTTCTTCTTCCTCCGTTTCAGAGGCCAGCGTCTCTAACTCCTCTGGTAGTTTTGGCCTTTTGCCATTCTGGTAAAAAGTTAAAAAGAGAATGAACTTGTTAGTTGTCATAGATCATGCAAGAGTAAAGAAGATCTAAAAGAGGGACAAACCTGTAGAGATTCTTGAATTTGAAGCTCTGATGAATCAAAATATGGGATCTGTAGTGTCAAGAGCTCGAAGATTAAGCACCCGAATGACCAGATATCCACTTCCTGAAAAAAACATGACCAAGTAAACTCATTAAACCGATAAAAGACAAGAAATGGAAGAACATAAGAATAGTAGAGAAACTTACAAGTCCGTAAAAGTTTTGATCGTGCATTGCTCGGAAGACTTCAGGGGCCATCCAACGTGGCGTACCAACACATACATTAGGTGGATGTATTCCCACATGAGCAATGCAGCAACCGTGCAAGTGAGACCTAAGCGGAACAGCTCTATCGAAATCACAAAGCTTCACGATAGGTTCTTCTCCGTTTGCTCTTTTACTGTCCAGATCGATCAATACGTTTTCGCTTTTTATGTCACGGTGAATTATATCCTTCGAATGCAGCTCCATTAAAGCCCCTGAGATATCTCTTGCAATAGACAAGGCTAGATCCATTGGTACATGATGCTTACCAGCTTTAGAAAGCTTCTCAATGTGACCCTGTAGAAAGTTAACCATGAAGAAGATTCTCATTAGATGCTACAGATAGTTTCTCAAAATAGAATGAACAAAAGAATGCTTACCTTTAGAGATCCTCCTTCTATGTGTTCCATCAAAATAGCAGATTGCAATATGCGTCGATGCTCGTTTCCATTTTCCGAGGTTATCCACTTGGAAGATAACTCATGTCCGTATAACTCCACTATACAGTCATGTTTCAAGGCTCCTAGAATCCGCACTTCTCCTAAGCAAGCATACTCAAAAGTCCTAATGTCATCTACAGAAGCTCCAGAAACCTCTAATGTACGCATCTGAGAAAAGGGAATAACAAACTATTCAGTAAGTTTATTCAAAACCTGAAGTGGAGAAAGACAAGAAAGGTTGAGAAAAAAAAAACAAACCTTCGCAACTGCTTCAGTAGAGCCCAGCTTGCAACGGATAAGACTACTATTAGCTCTTTCTACTCCTTCACTTGTTGACAAAGAAGGAAAAGAGCATCCTGGTTCCAGTTTTGCTCTTGTGCAAATGGATTCATTAAGTCGATTTAGAGGAATGTACCTGAAGCAATCAAAATATACAAAACTTGATTAGTCATTCAGCACAAAAACTGTATAAATTGGTAACAAGAGAGTATAGAAGTGTTATACCGGCAGAAATATTCTTGATCTGTATCTTCCCTGATATCATGAGGACGGCAAGCATCAACCACCATACGAACCCATGAGTCACCACGCTTTACAGGAACAATGTTCCAGGCATGTGGCGTGAAGTCTAGATAACCTCTAACAAGCTCACAAGGCACCGGAGGTTCCATACGATCACAAAGAAACTTCATGAGCAAGGCCCTGTGCCTACAGATGCCAAACTGTAGTTTCCCTAGAGGAACCACTATAGAGTTCCGCTTGGACTCAATAGAACGCAATGATTTTTCACACACATCAGAAAAATCGACATCTTGAGCCGTCCATGCAGAAACTTGTTTGTGAAGAGGAGCGGAATCGTCTTGATTCCCAGTCACACAGGTGCAAACAAAAGGCTTTTGGTAGTTTGTACCAGACACTGCAACCTTCCGGGTTCTTTCGATAATGGCGGTTCTGTCACTTCCCCCAAAATGATCTGACACAAAAAGGGCAAGATATGATGCAACCTGCAAGTTGTTGATGGAGACTTGATCTACATCTGCAGGTGGACAGTTCAGTATCTTCATTCTAGCTACCAAGGCTCGAGCAGAGAGAGTTATTGCATCCAGAACTTCATCCTTTGCCCTTTGACATAACAAAAAAAAGGCACAGTGAGCTTCATCATCTAGATAAGTATAAATGATGGTTCTAGTCGATCTAACAAAAAATATAATTACCTGTCCAGGAGTATGACTTCACGTGAATCAAGGGGCAGAATTTCCTCATACTTACTGAGAGGCATAAAGGGCCTACCACGTCCAGCATCAAAGAATCCATCAGGAAGAGAATCTTCTGCGCTGCAAAATGAATTGCTGCTGTATTTGTGAGACAAACTAGCAATGTCTGAAGATGGCTTATGGCATTTAGAACCTCTAGGGTTATCCAGGTACTTATCACGGCATCTCTTCGAACTCTGATTTGGTTTCTTTCTCTCTGAAGAAGAACTATAGTCTGCATCCCCTGAAGAGGGAGAAGATGACTTAATCTCACAACACTCCTTGTTATCTTTTTCACTCGTTGATTGGTTTTCAGAAACCGAATCAGCTTTCAAACTGCTCTCCTCGTCATCAAAAGTAATGACAGAATCTTCTATTTCAGCGTCTTCTAACAATTTATCATTGTCATCCAAGCAGATGCTATCAACTGAATCTTTTTCAGTGTTCTGTGAAACCTTCCTCTCCTGTTTTTTAGTTTCTTTGATTTTGTACATCTTCAGATTTAATCCCTCGGGAGGGATACCACCTTTCCATTTCTTGTTGTTTTTCAAGCGCTCTTGCCTTGCCCTTTGTTTCCGCTTCCACCTCTTACTTGATTTTCGAGCCGAGACGCATCTACCCATTGAAGGAACACCAGTTGACATATTTAGTGGATTACGATGGGAGCATGCACCTATGTGCAAACAAAGAAACAGAGAATTCATCATTCAATATTAACAAATGAAATCAAAAGCAAAGAAATATCAATGCAAAGGAAATGAATATTAATTAAACTCTCACCTTTATGAGTAACACTTATGGTGTTGTGCTCATACGCGGTTTCATACACATCCATTTCAACTATAGAGCTGCAAGTATCAACTCCCATCTCTTCATAGTTCCCTCCCAGATCACACTGTATCCATGCAGGTATGCAGCAATCACTCTGAAGCCTATTGAACTTGAAACAGAAAAGCAAAGAAGATCTGTCAGATTAAAGAATATAGTGAACTCCTGAAGTGAGTATATATCCTAATAATAAAGCAATGTTGTGCCGAACCAGGTAGAGAAGTACCTGTAAATTTAAAATCTGAAGCCTAGGCATTAAGCTTAGATCAAGAGGATCCAGAGTTGTTAACCGGTTGTTTGATACATCCAGGCTTTCCAAGTTTTGTAATGAAGCTAAAACCGATGGTAGCTCAATCAGCCTATTGTGAGCAACCTTCAGGAACATCAATGAAGTCAGGTAACTTATCTCGTTAGGCAAATTCTTGATCTTGTTAAATGAGAGATCCAGATACTCCAGACTCTTAAGACATCCAATCTCCGCGGGAATATATCTACAAACAAGTGAAGAGACAAAAGTTAGATCCTGAACCCAATTTCACATTATTAAACAAAAAACCTTAATAAACAATCTACACATCAAAAAGTACAAAAAGTACAAAAATCAAAAGAACCACCTATAGGCATGTTCAGTGTTCTAAAAATAGGTTTAGGCGTGTCTGCATAGTCGGCAAATTGGTCTAGGCATCCACCTAATCAATAATTCCATACAAAACACCTAACTACCAACTAAAGATTTCTCGAACATTAGGCATGTTTAAGCATCAACAAAACGATTCATCAGTGTCAACAACTGTTCTAACTTACGTTTCCCGGAAACTCTACACGGATCCACAACCGAATGCTACGTAGCAGACCTGAGAAGGCATCAAGAAGCTGAAACAGAAGCAATGAAGCATAAAAAAAAAAGGAAAAGCTTTTTTACCTAATGGAGAAGTGAGAAACAGAGAGCCTAGTCAAGGACCTAAGACCAGAGATCTCACTCAATAGAGTCAAAGCAGAAGAACGTTTAGGGACTTTAACAAGCTCAACCTCCTTCAAACCCTTAAGCTTATCCCAACACAAACCGTCACCAAAACCCGGTGACGATATCTTCACCTGAAGATACTCCAAATCCACCAAATTCCCTAACTCTGACGGAAACAGATCAATCTCGTTACTGAAAAATTTAAGCTTCTTCAACCTCCCAAGCTCTCCGATCGATTTGGGAATCAAATTGAAAGCGTTTCGGAAAAAGTAGAGACCTTTAACAGAATCGTCTGGATTACAACCACCCAGAAGAGAAAGCTCGAGACTTTGACCGGAAACATCAACCACGGAGTCATCGTCTAGACTTGTGACGGTGGAATCACTCTCGTTGGCTTCATCAACGTCGATTGAATCGGCAGGGTCGTTGCAATTAGCTTCGATTGAATTAGGGCACGAATTAGAGACGTCCATCATGAATTTGGAGAAGAGGAATCGAGCCCAGAAGCGATTATAAATCAAACCCTAGATTTCACGGACAACGTATCTCTAGAGTATTTTTAATTACACGACAAGACAGTATTATTTATGTAAATCCATTTAAGCGCTAAAGGTAAGAGTGAAAAGGTAACAATTTTAAAAAACATTTTGATCAGAAAAAAAACGGTGAGTTTCCTTTTTGGGTTAAGATGAAAAAAGGAATGTGCTGTTGATTTAAATTTTGAATGTTTCAACATATGAAATTTGTAGCTTTTCTTACTGTATTTTTTCTATTGTTGTGGAACAAAGTAAATAATTTGTGAATACTGTTTTTAATATGTTGTTAATACAAGCTTTTCTTTTAAATTAAACTAGATTTTATACTCGCGCGTAATAATTTAGTTTAGTTTTAAAATAATTTAAAACAAAAAAATTAATTGGGTAACATAATTTTATTATTTAAAATATAATTTTAAATTTAGTATTTGTGTTTTCTTATAATTATGTTATCTTATTAGCTATTTAGTTATTTGTATTTGTAAATATAATAATTATGTTGTAAACATATTCATAATTTTTAGAAATATTAA